CACAGCAACACCACAACACGCAACACAGGGGCTGAGAGAGAGGGAGAGACCCGCACAGCAACACCACAACACGCAACACAGGGGCTGAGAGAGAGACCCGCACAGCAACACCACAACATTCAACACAGGGGCTGAGAGAGAGGGAGAGACCCGCACAGCCACACAACACCCAACACAGGGGCTGAGAGAGAGACCCGCACAGCAACACAACACCCAACACAGGGGCTGAGAGAGAGACCTGCACAGCAACACAACACCACCCAACACAGGGGCTGAGAGAGAAAGAGGGACACGTACAGTCCAGGAGCTGAGAGAGAGGGACAGCAGGGCCACACACACACACACACACACACACACACACACATACACGGGAGGGTCAGACACTCACCTGTCCTGATGAAGATGAAGGCAGTGTAGGCCCCGAAAACAGCTGTATAGGAGAACTGGAACACTGCGACAGAGACAGACCTCGTGAGTCAGCTGACCACCACCAGGGGGCGAGAGAGAGCAGCCACCAGAAAACCGCGCCAAGGAGTGAGGGGAGCCTTCTCGGAGATCTCAAAACACTACACGGCTGGCAGCCTCTGGAGAAGTGAGGGGAGCCCCAGACTGAGGGCTCACACAGCCGGCCGCATGAACAGACCACTGCAACAGGGGACCCCCAGGGCGTTCATCGCCGGAGTATAAATTCGGGTTACATCAGCGGTGTCACTGTCCAGCGTCGGCTATTCTCCGAGCCTCCACCAAATCTCACTGCACGACGAACTGGCTCCACAACTCTGCTCTCCTCCCCACTGAGAGCTGGGGTGTGGCGAGCGGGCTGGCGCCTCACCCAGGTGGGGGTGGAGGGGATCCCCATGACCTGTACAGAGCTCAGACCGGAGTTTTCCAGAAAAGCGCTAGAGAAGTGTGAGGACTAATAATACTAATGAAGTCGTTTCATTAGCGCTCTCTGTCTGTACAGAACCACGCACGCGAGGTTTGGCACGTCTTCACTCGGGTTTGTTCCTGCGCTGACCTGCTCCTGGTGTCTAAGGGCCGCGGGGACGCCTGACCGGCCTGCTCTCCCCCGGACAGCGTCCACCCAGCCTGATCGGGCCCGAGGGGTCAGCGAGCCGGAAGCCCCCCCCCCCCCCCACCGAGAGACGGGGGTACGAGGGGGCCGAGAGACGGGGGTACGAGGCGGCGCCCTCACCTGCGGACAGGAAGATGCCCAGGACCGTGCCCTGCCTGAACCTCAGCAGCTCGATCACGTGGTGGAAGTGAGCTGGCAAGCGGGGGAGAAGAGGAATCACGTTTCAAAAAACCGGCGATGGCTCTTAAGACGACTCGGCTGTTATCTGTCCTATAGGAAAACAGCGCCGGCTCGGGGAGGAACAAAGACTCCCGGGTTTGGCAGGGAGGTCGGGAAGGACCGGCCGGGCGTTTTCTGTCAAACGCGCTCAGAGTTTGGAGTCTCT